ATTGTTGTATATAGAACCAAACTATTTTATTCAAGCCAGTTCGAGAACCAAAAGAACCGAATCGGTTCTTTTCTATCACCTTAAAACTGGTTAAAAATTAATTCAAAACCAAAACCGAGTTCATAAAAAAGTAAAACCGATTCAATTCAGTTTAATATTAAAAACCGAACCAAACCGAATCACATTCACCCCTTTTACTATGAGAGAAAATGTTTCTTTAGGAAAAGTAAAAACAAAAAAGAAAAGAAAGAAAGAGAAGTTCAAGCGACATTAATTACATCACTCTAATGTTTAATTTTTGAGGAGTCAATAAGTTGATTTCATTTAAAATTTCTTCCTACTCCAAGTTAAACATAGTACCCAATTTATGTAAAAAAAAAATTTATTTGGGTACATACCCAATTTAAAATTAAGCTAAAGGAAAGTGAGACTCTTTTCTTCAGCCCCTGTTATCCTATTTTTGATATGTCTCTTCTGTAGATAAAGTAATGTTGCTTATATTATTATTTTTATAAATTGTACAAAAAAATATTATTGCGGCAAAGTTGAATTTGAAAATATTCTCACATATAGATAATGCCAACCTATATAGGTTGGGTTAAAGGGTTGGTGTATTAAGAAAAAAACAAAAAAGTTCAAGTGGGATAACCAGTTTCCACATTTGTAAGCAAACCTAAACTGCAAGAGTGCCTTGAAAATAGTTAGGTAGTGTATAGAATATGTTAAGATATAAATAGCTCGATAAGATTGAAGTGATTTGTTTATTTTCATTGATGTAGATTTAATGGTGGTTGAAGGTGGTTCTTTTAGTATGTTTCGGTGGGCAAGAGATGATGTTGCAAGGGAGGCTGATACTCAAATTAATATGTGAACAATGGTGGAGTAAAAATAATAAGGTGTATACATGTAGGGTTTGGTCAACGAGGAACAACATTAGGGGTGTAAATAAGCCGGCCAGGCTAGGCTGGACATTTGACCTTCTTGGCCTAAGCCTACGTAAAAAAATATTTGACTTATTTGGTCTATTAGCCTACTAAATGCTTTATTTATAGGTCAAGTCTGGGTTTTTTGATCCTTATAACCTTTTATTAATAATTAATTACCAAATTAACCTTCATTCTAAACTATTTCAAAAATTTAACCTCCTCAAAAAATATAACACCAATCTGCCCTTGTTTGACCGTTGACCACCAAGCCTACCCGGGTACACGCCTCCCTACCCTAGTATTTTTTGAAAATTTTTATCTACCCGGGTAGGGAGAGGTGTACCCAGGTATTTTTCTTAGCACTTGAGAAATTGTTTGAATTATTTACCCGGGTAAAGAGGGGTGTACCCGGATAAATAATTGAAATGCCTGAAGTGTTGTTCTTCTTCGTTTGTAAAAGAAATATTGAGTTTGTGTCATGTTCTTTAGTGCCTTTCAGGAATTAATCACCTTTTGGGAATTAATCACTACGACACTTTGGGTGTCTATTGCCAAGATAAATCGCTTAAGCACCACGAAGCTCTTTGGAGAAGATCTATGACTTAGAAGTTGAAGGCCACTTTTAGTTCCCATCTCACAGTGAGGATCCATGAAAGGAGGAAGAGAGCGAGGCATATTTTGCTTTCTCTCTAAATAGTTGAAATATCATAACTGCGAAATATATGTCATGTAACATTATAAATTTTGATGAAATATTATATAAACCCCCATCGGCTATTTCGTTCCATATCCATTTAACACAATGAATGTAAGAATTGAAAACCATTTCATATATCCAAAAACAAATTCCAGTTTCATTTGTTTTAATATCCAGCTGGCTACCACGAATCTTCGGCACCCAATGTTGGATTCTTGAAAGCAGGGAACTACCAATACGTTTTTAGTGAGAACGGTGGGTAAACAGTAGCACCTTCTTCAGTCAATAATTCATTTCCTTTACAAACGAAGAAGAACAACACTTCAGGCATTTCAATTATTTACCCGGGTACACCCCTCTCTACCCGGGTAAATAATTCAAGCAATTTCTCAGGTGCTAAGAAAAATACCCGGGTATATCCCTCCCTACCCGGGTAGACAAAAATTTCAAAAAATACCCGGGTAGGGAGGAGTGTACCCGGGTAGGCTTGGTGGTCAACGGTCAAACATGGGCAGACTGGTGTTATGTTTTTGAAGGGGGTTAAATTTTTGAAATAGTTTAAAATGAAGGTTAATTTGGTAATTAATTATTAATAAAAGGTTATAAGGGTCAAAAAGCCGTCAAGTCTGACATATTTTTAAAAATTAGAGAGCCTTATATGACCTACAGGCCTTGTAGGCCGCCTCCCTGGTGATATATTTTTATATATTTTTAAAAAATTTTAAAAAATATTTTTAACAATTTTTAAAATATTCGCTTGACATTACAAGTCATTAACGTGTTCATAAATTGCTGTATTTTTTTACACGAGATATAAATTTCACCAGTGAGCATTTAAATTTTTTTTTTTTTTTTTTTTTTGGTACATAGCATTTAAAATTTTACAATAGTAAAAAATAACTATAAAAATATAGAGTTGGTACTGATTGCCACCTAAAATAAATATATTATTTTATTTTATTTTAAAAAATTAAATAGGCCAGCCTACAAGGCTTTAAGTCAGGCTTGACAAAATTGGCCTATAACCTACTTGACAAAATTACTATACTTTTCAACGTAGACCGGGTTAGGCCAGGGTCAACGTACAGCCAAGCCAGGCCAACCTGACTCATTTACAACCCTAAACAAGACTGTGTTTATAAAAAACATGTTCTCGCCTTTGGATGTTCAAAGGGATTTAGGATTTCTCTTCTAGTAAATAGACCAAATTAAATGGATAGTGAACCTAATTAAATCTGAGTCAAACAATACCTTCATAATAGAATAAAAGCATGTTAACATTTTAAATATTTAATCATAAATGTTGTAATTGTTGAATTTGTCGCCATGATTAATTATGTGTATTGAGAAAAATATCTTTATAATTATTTTAATAGTAAGATTCAATAATATGTTTAAACATTTATTTATTACAAGATCTTAAATTTTAAAATAAATAGTTTAACTATTAGCGCTTTTTCAATTATTTTTTAATATTAATTAATTTACACTCAATAATTTTAAAATATAATTAAAAATAAAGTAATATTTTAATAATTAAGTATTTATAAGTTATTTTCATTAATTATATGTAAACATTATTTATTTGCTAAAATCATTTTCAAGATAAAAATTTCCCAACATAACTTCAGCTGAAAATCTTACTCCTAAGTAAAGTTGTTTTAAAAAAATTGAGTAAATCATCAATTTAATCTATTATCAGTATAAATATAATAATATATAACATATTTTCTATAACATAATAAAATATTAATTAATAGATATAAATAAAGCCAAACAATAATATATTATATTATATATTATTCAATATTCATCACATAAAATAAATAAAAAATTAAGAAATTAATTATTCATTTAATTTTAAAATTAAAAGGAAAAGATAATAGGCAACAAAGGAAAGAGGGTGAAAAAAGGAAAAAAATTTGGAAGATAAAATAATGTGTTGGTGCTTGACAAGTTTTCTTGAAGAAATTAATTATCAACCGTGTGAAATATGTCTTATATAATTGTTTAAACATGTTTTTTGTTGGATGCTTGTGTGATGAAAATTATGACAATTTGTTTTCTCATGATAACTGGAAACCCAATAAGAGTTCCATGGTTGTGGCTAGAGGTAATAAATACGCTTTTCTTGACTCAAGCAAAAGTTATCAAAGATTTTATTAACACAACTGAGTTTGTTGATGGAACTGACTTCTCACATACGAGTTTGTGTCACATAAGTGAGGAAAGGATGACTATGCAAGTCAAGAAAAATGTGTTGTTTAATTTTAAGAGAAGGACGACTATGCAAGCCAAGAAAAATGTTTTGTTTAATTTTAAAAGTGTACATTTGTAGAAATGTATTCATTATTGTGCTAGGAATAAAGACAAGGATTCTTTTAAATAGTTGTTCCACCTTCAAGGAAGTTAGATATACTTGATTTGGTGCACTATGATGTGCGGTTCTATGAAGACAAAAACACTTGGGGGTCTGTCAACTTTTATGACATTTATTGATGATTATTCAGAAAAAAATGAGTTTTACACGTTAAAGAACAAAAGACCAAGTTTTGAATGTGTTCAAACAATTTCAAGTTTCGATTAAGAGAGAATGGTGGTGAGCATCTAAGGCCTCTAATGCTTATTGAAAAGAGTACGAAATTAGCATCACAAAACTCCTCTGTTGAATGACTTAGCTAAAAGGATGAACAAAAACCTTGATTAAAAGAACTAGGTGCTTATTATCACAATCTGGATTTCAAGAATCATTTTGGGATGAAGCTTTGAGTACAATTGTTATATATTAAATTGATCACCATGCGTTCCTTTACAATATAAAGTGCGAGAAACACTACACCAAAAGTGGGATTTAGCGGCGGTTCAAACCGCCACAAATATTCAGTGGCCAATTGAAAATCGACTTAGAAACTGGCGACGTTAAAAATATTAGCAGCGATTTACAGGAACCGCCAGAATAACCGACGCAAAAAAACGAACCGACGCAGAATACATACAAACCGCCATTGATTATTAGAAAAAAAATTAATAAATTTTCTTATAGCGACGGTTTTGAACCGCCACTAAATCATGTAATCCATTTTTTTAAAAAATCAAACTTTTGTGGTGGTTTTAATGAATTTTTTTTTTTTGTAAACATAAATATTTTAAACAGCCACTGAATTGTAAAATTCATTTAAATTATATAATTTGACTCAAACTCTTGCAGTGATTTCATTAATCATAAATACATTTATTGTTTATAATCAATCATGTTATTATAAACATGGGCATATGAGTACACAACAAAAAAAAGTAGCAATATGCCTTAAACATGGGCATCTGAGCACACAACAAAAAAGTAACAAAAATAAATACATATGGAATATGTACCCGATTTATTAAGCACTACTGTAACGCAACTCGAAGTTCAAAGAATGATATATATCCTTTACAAGATTCTATAATGGGGATTATTAAAATACAAGATTTCTAAGTCCAATGGAATTGCTGAACTTTGTTGCCACCTCTGGCTAGCAATTTATTTACTTTTCCAAGTAAATAATTAAAGCAAATAAATTTCCAATATTTAATTTTTGTTTAGCAAACTTATCACATTCTGGTGCACCTTCTCCTTTTGCAGCTACACACCTGCACAAGAATTTCGAAGGTTCAAATAAAAGAATGGCACAATTCTTCAGTGTGTGTGTGAACAACAAGTTCAATAAAAAATGCCAACAGAGTATGACTCACCGATGATATTCAATGTATCGGGTAAAGCAATGCCTTGTTTGATTCTTCAGTATTGTGATGACAACTGCTACCTCAGCCATATTCTTATAGCTTCGTCCAGCATTATCAAATTGTTCTCTTCCCCCAATTACATTTATAAAAGAATATGGACAAAGCATTGGTTGTGGAAGATATTGCTTCCTGTAATTATTTCTTTGAACATTTGGTGCATCCTGAATTTTGTTAAAATAGAAAAACGAATTTGAAAATAAACTTATTTCTGGGTGCATTATATGCTGCATGTTGAGAAAGTTCTTTGGGTTAGGGGTGTTCGCGGTCTGGATTGGATCAGTTTTGGAAGCAAAAATCATCTGATCCAATACCTTCGGTTTGATCATTTAATCATCCATTCGGTTTGAATTTTTTTTCAAATTCGATCCGATCCAATCCAATTTTTTTTGGTTTGGATTGGATCGGTTTTCGGTTTTTTAAAAATCTTAAAATTTGTTCCATGATTATTATATAAACAACATCTTTTGTATATATTGACTTTGTAAATTATTATTTTTTGAAATACAAAAGCTTCATTAAACGATTATCTCAACACAGATGAAATTTTGTTGATGAGATGTGATTAAATTTTTTCTTGGGTGTAGTTGATGGGTTAACATGTCTTGGGTTTAAAAATTTTTGGGCTATGATTAAGGCAAAGCCCAAGTAGGTAGAGGAAAATTAATATATTGGATCGGTTTGGGCTATGATTGGGGAAAAACTCAATTAAAATTTGCGGTTTTTTTTCGATTTTCAATTTTTCGGTTTATTCGGTTATCGGTTTTTTGGTTCGGTCACCGCGGTTTGAATCGGTTTGGATCGGTTAATGAACACCCCTACTTTGGGTGATCCAATGAGCTCAGCCTCTCAAATAAGCTTCTCCCAAAACCAGCCTCATAAGAAACCTTACACACAAAAAGAACAAGCACAAATGTAAATTAGCAGTAGAAGTGGAATGAAAAATTTATTTTAAAAGAAAAATAAATTCAAGCATATGCATGATAGCAGCTACTTACATTACTTCTAACCATGGAAGGTAGTTGACATTCATCACCAACAAGAATGGAGTGGCTTAATCCTAGAAGTAACAACGGTATTATTGATTCTCACTCTTTCAACTGTGCAGCTTCATCTATGACCAAAATGTTAAGTGAAGAGAGGAAAAATTGTTAGCCATATTACACCCATTCCTGCAGTACTGAAGAGAGGAAAAAAAAACCAAATTATAAAGTATTAAAAATTTCACTGCAAGTTAAGCTATAAAATTATCTTCTAAATAATCAGAAGGGTATGACCTAAAATAAACTGATAAGAATCCTCTGCTTCATCCCCATGAAATAATGCAAAGCATTAGTCTTGAATGGTCCCACGAGTTTATTTCTATATGATTTTTGTGAAGAATAAGAGATGAAACATGTCTGTATTCTTGTAGCACTATGTGATCATGCAACAAATAAAGCAAATTCCATATAATTAAATATTCTCTATCTTATCTGTAAATTTAAATTAAACCAAATCTCCAGAAAAAAAAATTAAACCCTTCCGTGGCGTTCGAACATACCAACAAATGGAACTTGTACAGACAAGTAACAATTCAAGGAAAAAAAGACAACGTATATAATGATAATAAACTAAATGGTCATAATCTAGGAAGATTTCTCAATTTCAATTAGAATAAGGCATATGTTTACATGAAAATGTCAAGTTAACAAATTAGGGGACTGATGGGGGAAATATAATAAGAGAAGCCAAATGAAGATGTCATGAAAACAAATTGGCACAATCATAAAAGATCAATAGCAAACAAATAGATGGTCTTCATACACAGAGTAAGCGATTTGGATAAAGATAATATTTGAAGCCTGCCTAGCACTTTTATAAAACGAACATTTCAAATATTAGGAGCAACATGAGAAAAGGGAGAACAACTTTAGAAAGCAATAACTTACCCTAATGGTATCATAGTAGTTGCATCCAACCTCAGATGACAATCTACAGAGCAAGCAGTGCTTGTGTCCTTTCTGAAGCCTCAACACCTTGATTTCATTGATTAGTTCAATATTCATAAGATAAAGGACATCTTTATCTTGAGAGCATATATATATATATATAAAGTTAATTGTAAAATATTAACATAAAAAACAATTCACAAAGACAAAACTTACTTGAGAGCATCAGGGACAACCACCCTTTTCATCTTGTCATATGGAGGAGGGATTCCCTCATAAACCTTCAAACGAGCAAGAGCAGCTTCCCCTCGCTTTGTCTTATATGGTATCATCCTATAAAAACAAAAATTTTCAGAACCATCCCACCTATGAAGGAGCCCATCCTATTCTACAAAATATTTAGAGCAAACCATAGGAAGAATTCAGTAATCATAAATCTCTTAACAGAAACTTTGTACAAGAAGATTTCTTGTTACATTTGATATTTCATTATTACAGAACAAAATCAAAGAAACAGAATCCTTCAAACAACTCCACTAAGCACAACATGAGAGAAGACCAGGGTTTAAAAAGAAGAAGCTCAAAACAAATTGCCAAATAACCTCAAACAAATAACTTTCATTTCATACCCCTAAACAAATTATTATCATACTACAACTTAGACACAGGACAAATTATTATTCTATTATACAAGTGACATGTACTCCGTGAAGAAATGTTCACTTTTTTTAATAGATAGATATTTATTTTATAAAAGAATTTATAAAATGAAAATAAAAATAATTGTGCTTTGTCATTTATTAGTATTATACATATATATATATATATATATATATATATATATATATATATATATATATATATAAACCTATAAGAAAAACGTTACGTGGATTAATGTTCCTTATTGATAGGATTAACATCTCGATGTAACTGCACAAAATTTTGAATATTTTTTTATTTGTTTAAGTAATTTAAATGCCGCCATAATAGTTTTTAGTGGTTAAAAGAATGGACTCTCTAGGAACTTAAAGAGAATTTTAAAACAGTTAAACTCATATCAATTGGAACACCATTACATCAAAGTACCAAATTGCTAAGCGTAGATATAATGATGATGCAAGAAGAAGAACGACTCAGTAATTCAAATCTCAAACTCGTCACTCGAGTCTCGTTCTCACATCCATTAACAAAGAGAAGAAAATTTCAGAAACAGATCTACCCAAAAAAATGCTTGGTCGCCACAAGAGAAGGGTGTCAATGTTCATGTTCTCCTCCATTGCTGAATTCTTTTTTTTTTAAATTCTTTTTAAATTTTTTCTTCTATTTAAACTTGTTTTGGAATTCGAAATCTCACGTTTATTGTAATGCAGGCCATTTAGCCAAATAAGCAATTAAAGATCTGGATATAAGGGTGGAAAACTCACCGTACCAAATGTTGGATCTCAATCTCAACGCCGATTCTGCATCCCTCAACAATACTCTTCCTCTCTCCGGTAGCCAAATAGAAAGATCTGGCAACTTCAACTCCTCTGTCATCAATGCCGCTAACACCAAAGATTAAATTGAAACAGATAATGATTAAATTAAAGATAAATAAGGAGGATCGAATAACACAATTATTACAGTTCACTAATTTTTGATTGATCGAAAGCTCTACGATATAACACAAAAAACCCTAACCTGAGAAGGATTCTAAGAAGTCAAAACTCTATTCCATGCTAGAGAGAGAAAGGAGATAAAGCAGAAGTGGAGAGCGGAATAAAAAAATCTTACCCGGCGCAGCTTCCAGTAATATTGACTGTCAATGATTTTGACATCAGTTGCTAATATCGACTTTGTTATGCTTCAAGTAACTCACTTGGTGGCGTTTTGGTTAATCGCCCCTATCCAATCGCCAGCAAAAGCCGAATTTGGCGTAGTGTTACTGGATATTTTAGTGCAAAAAAGATGAGATTCTCTAATGATATAAATCCTCCACCCCTGCAGATCATGGTTAGATAGTTCATATTACTCATACGCATCCTACTATTTGCACTATTTGCATCATAGAAGTATATCACAATGTATAATGATAATAGTGCAAATAGAAGGCCCGGCCTCTCCTTCCAGATGCCAATAAATATCTTTCTCAAAGACAATGATAGTGCAAATAGAAATTCTAAGAATTGAAGGCTTGACCTCTCCTTCCACATGCCAAAGATTTGTTGAGATTTTCTCCTTCTAACTTTGTTATCATCATAACAGGAATTGAAATGTTTGCCTCAGTGCTATTGGAGCATACCATCTCAAAGAGATCTGACAACAAATAAATTGTTAGATATAAAACAAAATAAGATCATGTTAAACTTTAATGATAAAAACAGATAAAAGAACAGAGAGTAAGTCATTAATAGCAACGAAGACGTTTCAAATAAAAACAGGTTAATATATACTTGATTATGTTGAGTACAACATTAACAGTCACTCATGGCATTAAGAATGTGATCATGCAAGTTGATAATATCACCTGCACGCATGAATAAGTATATGACAAGTATGTACACCTGTGAATTATATGTATGGAAAGATCCCAAAAAATAAAAAACGCAATCAACCATGCAAAAAATAATGAGAGAAGCAACACTCTCAGTCAGTATATCAAGCAACATCAGATAGAATTAGGTGGCAGCAGCCTGATTTGAAATAATCTTTTATTTTGGTAAACATGGAAATAACTCAAAAGACCAATTTTTTTTTCAGATTTCAACTGTTAGGAAATTAGTATTCCCCAAAATACAACCTGAATAGTGAAATCTACCAAGTATCTTAAAAATAAAATTAATTTCAAAAAACAGTGACATTTAGTGTAATGTAAAGCTCTAAACTTCTAGACCTCAAGTTTACAAAGGAAAACAGAACAAACCCGGAATAAAAAAGAGGGGAAATGAAGCATTATCAGGTAGTTCAAAATTCAAATACTTAAGGAGTATGGATAAGAAGGGAACAAAATGCGTCAAGTAAACCCCTTAGTAACGACGAATTCGTCAATGTCACTTACCTCACTTACCTCCCCAATCCGTACACGAAGCAGAAACAAAACCCTAAGCTCGAACACATAAATGAACTGCATTTCAGTTGTTTACATAACAAAAATAAAAATAAGAGCCGAAGTGGCTCGCGGAAGCTAGGGTTTATGTGCGGAAGTGATAAAATGGAACGGAAGAGAAACGAGAAAAAATAACAATAAGAAGAAATAATCGAAGCGAAGAAAAATCACACAAGATTAAAAAAAAACAATAATACCTTTGGAGATTTGCAATGGAGGTGCAACAGAGATGTTGAGGCGAGTTTCAGAGGTGGCACGTTCAGCCATGGAAGATTGTTGATCAGCGTTCAACCAATTTTTTTTTTGAAACCTTAAAATACTAAACGAACCGATCCCGACAGAGATGAACACTGCAAACGACGGTTCAGAATGGCCATTCAGAAATATCAACACCAAGTCGAGAGAGAAAGAGAAAAAAGGAAATGTGTTTGTTGTGAAAAAGGGAAAAAAAAAGAAAAAGATGCACCGATTGGATACTTAGCAGAGAGAGAGAGAGAAAACTTTAAGTAGCTATGTTTCAGAGAGAGAGATACTTAGCGCCAATTGTTGTGAACCAAGTTCCATGCGCCGATTGCAACTTTAAAGGGGAGCTGATAATTGCTAGATGTAGAGTCGATTTTTAAAACGGACACCAAGACACCGACTCTGGATCGTGGTTTTCTTGTAGTGAAATGGTGTAGTTAGGTAAAGATGTCCTTAACGATCACTTGAGGATGTTTGGGTGCAAAGCCTTTTTGATAGTGTATTTTTACTAATTATGGTATGGATAAATTTGGCTACAAGCTTTATGATCCTGTTGATAAGAAGATAACCTGAAATAAAGATGTTGTGTTTGTTGAAGATCAAACATTAAAGAACTTTAATAATACAACACTCTCAAAGTTGAAATATACAATTATGCATGAGTTTAGAATTAAATACACATTCTCAAAGTTTATATATACAAGTTGAAGTTCTAATAGATATATGATTTTCACAAAGGATAAACTCAAAGAATCAAATGATAAAATATATATAATAAGTCCAAGGAATTCTTTCAATAAAGGGTAAATAAATGACCAAATTGTGTCCAAACAAAAATAGCCATTAAGCGTCACTGGAATGCTTACTAGCTAGTAAATACTCGAATACTTTTTGTGAAGTGTTTGAAATACATTTTGAGAAGTATTTCAAATACTTTTGGAAAAGTATTTCATTACCTTTTAGCTTCATAAGATTATTCAAATACTTATCCAAATGTATTTGAATACTTTCTTGACAGAAGTTATATTATGCAGCAAACATCATCGGAAAAGTCGCGAATATCGACGAAAATTTACGAGGGAAAAATATCCCTTGCAAACTGCAGTGAAATTTGCGACTGAGAGACAATTGTGATGAAAAATAGGCGAAATTTTTGTCACTACAACACCATCGCAGAATCTGTTGCAGTTCAGTCGCAATTCTGCCGCAATTTGCGAGGGAAATAAAAACCTTGGCAAACATCAAAAGTTTGCGATGGAAACTAGCGACGAAAAATATTTATGATAGAAGGCTTTTAGGAAGGAGGGTTTTAGCGACAAATCGTTTCTCCCCGCACATTCCGTCGCAAACCATTTTTGTGAGAGAATTTTACGATTTTGCGAAGGATATGTTCCGTCGCTTATTCTGAATTTTCTGGTAGTCAAAAACATGAGCAAATTGATTTCAAGGGAGTACTCCAACCACTTTAGATTGTCTTAGGAAAGTTATTTTGGGTTCTAAAACAAGTCAAAAATATTTTCGATGAATTTTGAAAATTATTTTCAAGAATTAAAAAAAAATCATGAGACATGCATTTTGAAAACTGAATGTACTTTGATCTCATGCAATGCACTTCAACATATACACTTATACTTAAGTATAAGTCCTAAAGATATAATCTAAATAAGATTTTGGACTTAGTTTCATGCATAGAGATCAATATCTTGACTCTGATTCTTGACATGCCGGATATGGAAATTCTTTGATATTTTGTTGGACTTGATCTTCTTTTACCATAACTTGTGACAATTAGTTTTTCTTGAATGTTATCCATGTGTTGTTGCCTTTGATATTTGTTTTGTACTTCTAATTATTTCTTATTGCTATTGATGAATATGCTTTTGAATCATTGCTATCTCCAAAGGTCATCCATGTTGTTACCATTGTTTTCTTATTATTCTTCTTATGTGGCTCCATTATGTAACTCATTCTTCACGCCCATGTGATGTTTCTTTTTCTTGATCAAGACTCTTTTTGTTTATTGTTGTCTCTTTATTATCATTAAAACACATACATCTTTTATCTATACTTTCCTTTTTTTTATGATATCTCAATTTTTTTGGTGATAACAATTTAAAATTGAGAAAAAGGTTAGTAAAACAAGATATCCTCTAGCAATGTATACAAATACTCCCCCTCATTTTATGTATAATTTAAAAACATTATATTTATTAAAATTATGAACTTTAAATCAATATAGATGTATATGATGTGAGAATATAATTTTCACATTTACCTCTCCTCTTAGCAACATTAAAAATCATTAAACATGTTATGCATAACAAATGCAATTTGAACATGTTTGTTGGAAGTGGAGATTTTATCATGCTGTATTTTTTTTAATTCTCTCACAGTAAGAAATCTTTTTTCGCATGTTAAATTTGATATTAATTATTTATGCTATATTTTGATTTTTCGTTGTTGTGTTGGATGCTATATTGGTATTAGATTACTCCTATATTGTTATTCAAGGACAATTTCGTTGTTTTTACTTCTAGTTTTTTTTATCACTTCTCTTCAACAAAAAAGTTACTTAATCAAAAAGTGAAAATTTGTTTGTACGAAGCTTATTGTTTTTCTTCTTTCTATTATCGTATATCTATTCCTAATCATTTTCCATCCTTACTATCAACCAATGTCTATTGTACTATATTTCTTTTATCGTATCATCACTTACAAGCCTTTGTCATTACATTCATCACCATTATTGTTAATGAACACTAAAAGATAATTATCACAGTCATATATATATATATATATATATATATATATATATATATATATATATATATATATATATATATATATATAACAGAAGTTGCTGTCATTCGCAGCTTGATGATATATCAAATTGGGTCTATTATATAGACCAAGATTTACAATCGGTTACATCAGGAAATCAGCTAAACTTAAGGAACAGAAAGCATAAATCAAGCTAATCTATTTACATCAGGAAATCAGCTAAACTTAAGGAACAGAGAGCATAAATCAAGCTAATCTATTTACATCAGGAAATCAGCTAAAACTAAGGAACAGAAAGCATAAATCAAGCTAATCTATTTTAATATACAAGGTAACAAACCGTGATAGTTACAATCAGGATCCTAACAAATTAATGCTACTCTAATACTCCCCCTCAAGGTGGAGCATGGAGGGAGGAGATGCCCAACTTGGAAGTCAAAAAATCGAATTGTTTGGATCCAAGTGCTTTGGTCATAATATCTGCGGGTTGAGAACTAGTGGGGATATGTTGAGTAGAAATAGTCTTGCTGAGAAGATAGTCCCGAACAAAATGGCAATCTAACTCGATATGCTTGGTACGCTCATGGAACACTGGATTAGAAGCAATATGAATAGCAGACTGACTGTCACAAAACAGTTGCATAGGGGCTGCATGAGGAATATCAAGAGAGCTGAGAAAAGACTTTAACCAAATAAGCTCAGAAGTCGCAGCTGCCATGGCACGGTATTCAGCTTCAGCAGAGGAGCGGGATATTGTGTTTTGCTTCTTGGTTTTCCAAGAAATAGGAGAATGTCCAAGAGTAACAAAATAACCAGTGACTGATTTTCGAGTCAAGGGACAACTAGCCCAATCCGAATCACAATAGGCACGAAGAAGAAGATCACTGTCAGATCGAAGAAGGATTCCTTGGCCAGGATTGGACTTAATGTACCGAAGAACACGAATAGCCGCATCGTAATGTATCTGCATAGGATGCTGCAAAAACTGAGAAAGTGTGTGAACTGCATAACTAAGTTCTGGTCGTGTAATCGTGAGATATACAAGACGGCCAACAATACGTCTATAACGTTTAGGATCATCAAACGGAGGTCCTTCAGCAAGAGCAAGCTTGTGATTGGGATCCATAGGATAAGCAACCGGTTTACAACTTTGAAGTCCACATTCCTTAAGAATATCCAAAGCAAATTTGCGTTGAGTAAGAAACAAACCGGTCTTGCTTCGAGCAAATTCAATGCCAAGAAAATACTTGAGGGGACCAAGATCTTTGATTTTAAACCAGGTTTGTAAATGAGCTTTGACACGGTCACAGAGAGAAGGATCACTACCTGCCAACAAAATATCATCTACATAGACAAGTATAGCAACATAATGGGAACCAGTCGAGTAAGTGAACAACGTATAATCAGCACGAGACTGAACAAAGCCGAAACTGAGGAGAGAACTACGAAGCTTAGCAAACCAATTTCGTGGGGATTGCTTGAGACCATAAAGTGAACGTTGAAGCTTACAGGCGTGACCAGACTTGGTTTGGGAGAAACCGGGAGGAAAACGCATAAAGACTTCTTCATCCAAATCGCCATGGAGAAAGGCATTTTGAACATCCAGCTGAAAAATGCTCCATTTTCGAGCTACAGCTACAGATAAAAATGTACGCACACTTGTCATTTTAGCCACCGGTGCAAAAGTCTCAGTGTAATCTTCTCCTTCGATCTGATTGTTCCCAGCAATAACCAGACGCGCTTTATAGCGTTCAATGGTTCCATCAGAATTGTACTTGATGCGGTACACCCACTTACATGGAATAGCTTTCTTACCAGAAGGGAGAGGTTGAATTTGCCAAGTATGATTGGCTTCCAATGCATCAATTTCGGCTTGCATGGCTTTCTGCCAATGAGGATATTGCATAGCCTCTTTAAATGATTTGGGTTCCAGGTTACTATCCACGGCGGCAAGAAAAATCTGATGGTGCGAAGAAAATAATGCATTAGAAACATAATGATCAATGGAATATTGAATACCTGAGTCGATTGGAGAAGTGGAGAGACGAGGAAAGGGTGTAGTCATTGTGTTGCATACATAATCCTTTAAATGAGATGGGGGACGTCTGGCACGCTGTTCACGAATATCTGCCACAGATGCAGTGTTGGGTTCTGTCAACGGAACCGGTGAACCAGGGACATCCGTGGATGAAGTAATAGAACCCGGAACTGGGGAGGACGAACTCCCCCTGTCATCAAGCTCCGCTGTGGGAGTATCAATAGCAGTAACAGGTGCCACATCATAATCGGTGAAGACAGCTTGTGGTGACGGTACATGGACAGAAGGTGCAGATGAAGTTGCAGCCAATGGAAAAATAGTTTCATGAAATAAAACATCACGAGAAACAAATATTTCATGAGTGGAGATATCCATGACCTTCCATCCTTTTTTGTTGAAAGGGTAGCCAACAAACACACACTTACGGGAGCGAGGAGCGAACTTGTCATGTGGTTTGGGTAAAACAGTAGTGTAACATAAACTCCCAAAGACCCGTAAGTGATCATACTTTGGTGGAGTGCCATGCAAAACTTCATAGGGACACTGACCACCAAGGAGTGGAGTCGGTGTCCTGTTGATGAGGTGAGCAGCGGTCAAGATGCATTCTCCCCAAAGAGATATAG